CAGACGCGCAGGCTCAGTAGTTGTGGCTCACGGGCCTAGCTGCTCGGTGGCATGTGGGATCTTCCCAGACCAGGGCTTGAACCCGTGTTCCCTGCATTGGCAGGCAGATTCTCAGCCACTGCGCCACGAGGGAAGCCCTTACCATGTTTTAACTAAGAAATTCTTTTCATCCCTTTAGGAGCATCTTCCAGAGCTCTTTGTGCATTTTCAGTCTCAGAGTTTTCATACCTCAATGTATGCATCATCTTGGTTTCTGACTATCTTCCTTACGACTTTTCCACTACCAATTGCAACAAGGATATTTGATATCTTTATGTCTGAGGTGAGTTAATGGGCAGACTGAGCAAGGGAAATCATTGGGTTAATGAGAGCTGGGCAATGAGGCCAACGATAAAGGAGAACCATGTGCTCCATGCTAAACTGCTTACCTGGATAATCTCATTTAATCCTTTATCAACCCTATCAGTACTATTCATCTCCCCATTTGATAGATGATAGATGAGAGATTAGGAAGCTGATATTTAGAGAAAGATTAAGTAGCTCGTCAATGGACACATAAGTGGTATGGTAACCAGGATTCAGATGTAGGCATTCAAAGTCTGGAGCCCACACTCTTAATCAGACCTCTGTTTCACCTCCTTTTTGATTTAGTGAGAATTAGTGAGGGGTAAAATCTACCTTACAGTCAATATTGTTGCAATGTATCTGTTAACCAAAGAGGAAGAAGTAATGAGTATAATTAAGTTTCTTCTATCCCATGAACACCTTGCAGGCAGTCCTTCTAATTGTCAGTGATATGTAGTAGTGATCCTTTGTCTTGAATATTTTGAGTGAGAAGGTAGGAAGGTAAGGATAGGTGATCAGTGATAGAGAGCACCTAAGAATATTATTAATTGTTATTAATTACATCTTGGGAAGATCAGTTTGTATAATGTAGCTAAGTTGGGTTAGTCTGGAGCCAGCAAGCTATGATTCATGTACTGATTTCTTCTGGTTTGCGTGCCAAATCTGTCCTTCCACTTATTTCTGTAAATAAAGTTTCTTGGAACATAGCCGTGACCATTTGTTGATGTGATGTCTGTGTCTGCTTTTGAGCTGCAGTGGCAGGGTTGATTATTTGTGACAGCAACAGGTGGGGCTCATAAAGCCTAAAACATTTGTTCTCCAACTTTTTACAGAAAATGTGTGTGCACCTCTGTTTAGATACCTAAATGTTTACCTTAGTATTCTTTTGAATGATTAGTTTTTGTTTTGGAAGAATAAGACAAATTTGACTTTATAATTTGATTCCTCAGGGTTTAGAAATTGTGTTTCGGGTAGGATTAGCAGTTCTTCAAATGAATCAGGCAGAACTGATGCAACTCGACATGGAAGGCATGTTACAGGTAAGCCAGGCCATGATTTCTTGAATGTCTCTAGATTTTATATTAATTAATTGATAATAAATGGTACTAAGTCATTCTTATGTTTTTCTTCTATTGTATTTTAGCACTTTCAGAAGGTGATTCCACATCAGTTTGATGGTGGTACAGACAAATTAATCCAGGCAGCTTACCAAGTCAAGTATAACTCAAAAAAAATGAAAAAGTAAGTATTTTATATTTTGTTTTTTTAGTTATGGGGGTTTGTTGATGCATTTAGGAAATTAAATGGAAGAAGCAAAACATTCTAGTGGTGAGTGCAGATTTCCTCCTCATTTTATAGAGCTGTAATGTTTTATTTGGTGGTATTGGTTTCAGTATAACCTAAATTTAATATTGGAATTTCATAGTGCTCTAGTGGTGCATGGGATTATTGTGTATTACTTTTAAAACTCCCCTTCCCATTCCACATTGATTAGAATTAGGAACCTGGTAAGTGTATATATGTGAGTGTGCTGTTATTTTAGAAACTGCTTTTATGGTGTGGTCTAAGTCACTGACCTTCTTTTCCTCTTCGTTGATCCCAGTTTATCATTTAAGTTCAAGATTAGCATAACCAGCAAGATAGGCATGAGGTATGCATTAAGTTAAAATTTTGTTTACTGTGTATAACTTTCTAGTGAAACTTTTCTTTGAATATATTTCATAAAAGTTCAAGATATGCAGTGTTGGCCTGTAAAGGTTAATTTTTGAAATATGATAAAGGTGTTAGTTAAGAAAAACAGCTCTTACTCTTCTAGCTTCCAGCAATTAAATAAATCTTAGCCTGAGGTCATTGTTAGCATTCCTGACACTTGTTCTCAGTATCACAGCTGCTGCAAGGTGAAATTACATTAACATGTACAACGTATTCCCATGGAGATTCCTACTCCAGAAAGTATATTAGAATATGAGTAAGAATTATGTTATTAAAATTAGTTGGCTCTAATTTGAAAAAAGACAATTTATCATATTCAGCTATTATTGTTAATAAATTACCTGTGAAATTTCTAATAACCAGTCACATCACACCATCATTTTGAGACATTACTGACTGAAAAGCTGTTCTGTTCTATAATTGATAAAATCTTAGGAGCCATCTCAATTTCTGCCTGTTGACCTTAATTTAAAAATACTTCATTGGGACTTCCCTGGTGGCGCACTGGTTAGGAATCCGCCTGCCAATGCAGGGGACACAGGTTCGATCCCTGGTCTGGGAAGATCCCACATGCCATGGAGAGCAACTAAGCCTGTGTGCCACAACTACTGAAGCCTGCATGCCTAGAGCTTATGCTCCGCAACAAGAGAAGCCAACGCAATGAAAAGCCCACACACTGCCACGAAGAGTAGCCCCTGCTCGCTGCAACTAGAGAAAGCCCATGCGCAGCAAAGAAGACCCAGTGCAGCCAAAAATCAATAAATCAATAAATGAATAAATAAATTTATTAGAAAAAAACTTTATTGCTAAGAATTGCTAATCATCATTTGAGCCTTCATCAAGTTGTAATCTTTTTTACAATAGTAACATCAAAGATCACTGATTATAGATCACCGTAACAAATATGCTTCTGTTTTCTTTCCCTTCCTTTTTTTTTCTTTTGTTGGTACTTCCCTTCCTTTTCTATTGCAGTATCTACTTCTTACTGCATTGACTACTTCTTAGTGGTTAGTAGTTGTTTATGCATATTCTGGAGAATAATACTTTATCGGTATTCAAAGATGAGTGTCATCCATTTCTACTAAGTATCACTCTCAGAATGTAATGAACTTAGACTTGGACCTGGCTCTGAAGAAGGTTCAAATTTCCTGTGGGTAGGATGGTGGCAGAACAGAATTAAATAGCCTATTACATTTACAGTCTGGTAGATGTCAATATAACATGTTATTAATATAACATGTAAGAGATGCCTAAACTATGTGTCTTTAAACTGCATACACAGTCTAGTCTGTTGGGGCCCAGGAAAATGTTCAGAGCATGGTAACTAGATTTTCATTCTTTCCTAACTTATATCTGCCCTGATAATATTCCTATGGTAGAGGTATTTTTACTGAGTTCAAGCTTGTAGTACTCGCCACACGACAGACCAATAAATCGAGAGACATGGTGTTGGGGCAAGGAATAGTGACTTTATTTGCAAAGCCAGAAGACCAGGAAGATGGTGGACTGGTGTCCCAGTGAACCATTTTACCCAAGTTAGGATTTAGGTCTCTTTAATACTAAAAGGGGAGAGTGTGTAGCTGGTTGTTGTAGACTTCTTGGTGCCAGAATCCTTTGTTTTTCCAGTTGTCCACCTGAGTCTAGCCACAATGTTCCTATCAACCCTCAACAAAACAAATGTTGTTCTCTGTTCTGCAACTTTTTATCTCTGTATGAATGGAAAAGTGTTATATTGATACTTTTAAAGATCAAGCCTGGGAGGCAGAGCCTTGAGAATGGGCTCTCATGTATATTTTAGGCTATAGGCAACATCCTTTTACAAAGGTGCAGAGCCAGCATAACTAAGAACAGGCAACAGAGCTCAAAGTTTAGAGCTAAAGGAATAGATCCAATATGGAGTCAGGTTTGTTCTTTGTTACAGTATCTTTGTTCTCCTTTCTAGCTCCCCTTTTACAATCTGCCTTCTACCACTTTATAAAAGTAAGGCAAACCTGTCACTCCAATTCTTACTGTGGTACATTACTTTGGGATATAAAAATCTCTGGGGTACCAAACAAAAGGGACAATTTCAGAATGCCTTGCTACAGAAGGAGTGTGCCCTTAGAGAACAAAGCAAGAAAAATCAAATGGAGCAGCTTCTTATTTCATCCAGCTGACAAATGCTTGGCAAGCTTGCCTTATCTTGCTTATAGTTAGAATTGAAAAATAGAATGGTGGTTATGGGGTTATGTATTCACATATACTTATTTGAGTTGAAAAAGAACATGAACTTTAGTGATAGAGAAAGTAAATATGATATGACTCATTGGTTTAGTAACAGTGACTGCCTTTGCTGCTTAGGTTATAGAGTAGACATCCATAAATCGAATAAGTCTCATTTAAAGTTGTAGTGAAAAAATTTAAGCATATATAAATCACATCTTTTGCAACTGTATGCACTTAGGTAACAAAAATTTTTTAGACTTCTTTAAAATATATAAGGGGCAACATTCTTTTAGCAGGTACATGAGAAAAAAAAGTTGAAGACCACTGACATGGTTGGATAGGAGGATGGCAGAAGATGAAGATTCAGGTTGTTTTCTTTTCTTTTTTTTTTTTTTTTTTTTTACAGAAGATGTTGGGGGTAAGGAGTTTATTAATTAATTAATTTATTTTTGCTGTGTTGGGTCTTCGTTTCTGTGCGAGGGCTTTCTCTAGTGGCAAGCGGGGGCCACTCTTCATTGCGGTGCGCAGGCCTCTCACTATTGCAGCCTTGCTTGCGGAGCACAGGCTCCAGACGCGCAAGCTCAGTAGTTGTGGCTCACGGGCCCAGTTGCTCCGCGGCATGTGGGATCCTCCCAGACCAGGGCTCGAACCCTTGTCCCCTGCATTAGCAGGCAGGTTCTTAACCACTGCACCACCAGGGAAGCCCTCAGGTTGTTTTCTGAAGGAGAGGGCACCAGAGTATAGTTTTAAAGAACTTATGTTTCCAGTTGCTGGGGTTAAATGATGACTACAGAGAGGGAGTTCCTCCTTTGTGGAACTTACAGAAGTGCAGAAGACTGACTTTGAGATATAAAAACCTCTGGAGTTCCAAACAAAAGGTACAATTTCAGAATGACTTGCCCCAGAAGGAGTGTGCCCTGAGAAAGCAAAGCGAGAAAAATCAAATGGAGCAGCTTCTGAATAAATATACAGTATCATGTCCATCAGTGGCAGTGCCATGAAGGAAAACTAAAGGAGGATGAAGGACATGGAAGTGATGGGGTGCTTTTTTTAGATAGAAAACTCAGGATAGGGCACACAGACTGATAAAGCACCATTTGAGCAGACAGCTGAAGGAAGTGAGAGAGGGAGCCATGTGATTATCTGGGCAAGTATATTTCATGCTGAGAGAGCAGTAAATGTAATGAATGAAATAAGAATGATTGATATGTTTAAGAACAGTAAAAAGCCAGTGTGACTGTACCGTAGGCAAATGGGAGTGTAATAGGCAGTGAAGTTTGAAACGTGGTGGGAACCTAGGGGTATTTAAAGCTGTGCTGTCCTGTATGGTAGCCACTACCTGTATGTGGCTATTTAAATAGAATTAAAGATTCATTAAATCAGTTCTATTAGCCATGTTTCAACTGCTCACTAATCACTGACATGTGGTTTAGAGGTTTCTTTAAGATATGAATGTTGCAAGCAAGCAGTCTTAGCCTTTGGCTTCTTTTGTTGTAATTTTTATTTTGGTATACTTTTAAACTTTTTTAAAAAGTTACAAATATACCTCAAGGAACTCCCTTATGCCACTTATCCAAATTCACCAATTGTTTACATTTTGCCGCATTTGTTTTATTTCCCCCTACACACATACATGCATATATATAAATAAAATAATATGTGTGTGTGTGTGTAAGTAAAATCCATATCCATTATTTTTGGGAGGACACATTTTAGAGTAAGTTGAGATATTGTGCCCTTTTTCCTTAAATACTTGAATATGTACTTCCTAAGAACAGAGCTTTTTTTTTTTTTTAAACCGAAGTCAGCAGTTAATCAAAATCAGGAAATTATCATAGATATAATAGTATTCTAATCCATAAAAGAAGTTCAGATTTTACCACTTGTCCCAGTAATATTCCTTACAACAATCTCCTCCTCCCATCCCCAACTTCTACCCACTCCCCACCCTTAATCCCTTACCCCCTGGGTCCTGTATCCACTCCAGACCCTCCAGGATCATGTATTGCAATTTGTTTATTTCTTTATTTATTTAAAGATTTAATTTTATTTATTTTTGGCTGTGTTGGGTCTTCATTGCTGCATGCGGGCTTTCTCTACTTGCAGCGAGTGGGGGCTACTCTTCGTTGTGGTGCGCAGACTTCTTGCGGTGGCTTCTCGTGTTGTGGAGCACGGGCTCTAGGCATGCTGGCTTCAGTAGTTGCAGCACGCAGGCTCAGTAGTTGTGGTGCATGGGCTTAGTTGCTCCACAACTTGTGGGATCTTCCCAGACCAGGGCTCGAACCCATGTCCCCTGCATTGGCAGGTGGATTCTTAACCACTGT